GAAGAAGTGAAGACACACTGGACAAGAGAAAAGGTCTTGACCTTTTCAGTACTCAGCTATTTTCAGTGTAATTTGAAACTTTGTGTGCAATTCTGCTTCCAGATTGACGTACATCAAGATAAATAATTCATTATTGTTTCATTATAACATTTCATGAATAAAATTATTAATTATTAAAATTATCAAATAACTTAGACTAAACAATTTTCTTAGTATAATGAAACTTCTCGTACTGATATATCAAACCCCGTAAGTTCTACGTTTGAGCGATGTTTCTGATATCTCACTGATTTCTTTTAGAATATACTAGTTAAAAACAAATGTTCACCTCAGAGGGAAAGAATATTAATGCTGATTGGCTGTGACAGTGCATTTTTCATCAATTTTGATAATTGCCCCAATTCTCTCGTTCTTATTAGAGCAGTTTATACGATGTAACTATCAACACATGGTGAGTTACAAGAGAGTTATAGTTTTGGCACTGCATGACATTAAGAAAAAACTGAAAGTCAATGATAGAACTTTCCCGCGAAACGAAGTAAGTCATCAAAATATTATCGTTCTCAGGTCACAAGAATCAACCTGAACTTGTTGTGATGTCGAAGTCTTTCGCATCACCATTTAGGGTTGATATGCTCTTTTATCCTGTCGTTTTTACCTATTAATTTATGAATAAAATCTAATTTTACCCATGGTTTGTTAAGAGATATTGTTCGAGAGCTTTGAGATCTCTCGCTGTTGTTAGCGCAGTCTATTTAAGGTATCTATCAAAATATGGTGGTACAATTCAAAACATTTTATTCACTTTATCTTGGACCATGCACACAGTCGTAGGTATTTGCATATGGTGATATAAAATGTTTGCTAAATTTATATTTTAGTAAGGTCATACTGATATTTTCGAAAGGGTCTAATATTGTAATATTTTCATACCCCATTGATTTAATGATAAAATGATAATTGACATAGTCTCTTGACGATATCAAATTAACATATCGACCTATAGGCGGTCATATCCTTGGATTTCGGTTACGAAAGTGTTTGCTTTTACAGCCCGAATATAGCAGAGTGTGACGTGTCTTCGATGGAGCAAATTTTATTTTAAAAAATCCAAGTCAATCCCTTTTCGAAAGATCGAGTTCGATTTACTTGTCTCTGGGCGTAAGTTTAACTTCCTACAAATTGTAAAAAATAGTGTTTATTTGAAAGATGATCTCATTCAGTGAGTGGCACAAGCATACTTAGAGAAAAAGAATTCTGAGTGCTTTTAGTGGGAATCGAACCTGCCACCTCCCAATTAGTACTATTTTCTATAGGAGACTCGTACGCGTGGCAGGCAAGGCCGTTTCACGGAAGGTCTATGTTGACAAACTTTCTGCATGTCGAAGGTGATGCTTTTACGTAATGATGATGTAAATAAAGACGGTATAGTTGATGCTGGGTTATCTAAGTGAAAGGTGCCGCCTACTCAGAGGAAACGTATAATACCCGTATTTATTGTACGGTGTGAAATCCATGGAAGAAAATCTACCAAGTGGAGGTCACGCCAAGTGAACATCTACGTAAAGAAGGAAAGATAAAGTAGGAATGTTTTGAAAGAAAGAGAGGTGTGTTTTACCGCGCAAAGATCGTGCATTATTCTGGAGATGAAGATCACACTTTTCATCAGTTTTATGGCATAAAAAGCCATGCGGAATATTTGAAGATCACGTGAAAAAGGTTGTCATTTCGGAACTGTAGGTGAGGGAGTGGATTACTAACTTTTAGAGTGTTTAAACTAACATTCCAACTAGGCATTAGGCCGGTAAAGTGATAACAATTGTGGTCTGTAAGTTTACTGCAGCGGTTTCCGTTGGCTACACAACTTCAATCATGTACAGTAAAACAAAAGTGTTTTCTGCTTCCTGCCTAAGAACCAAAAGTCGATTCGGTCTTGTTTAGCTTTGTTCACTGGTTCTTATTTTATTACCTTATTTTTTAAACTCGCTTGACCAAATTTTCCAAATCGAAGCACACGCGAAAAATAGATAACTAAAAAAAAAAAAATAAATGGTTAAAAATTCGGTTGAGGATAAAATTGAATCTCATCGGAAGTAGATTGATCTATTTGACCAGCTGTGGTGCTCCGGCATAATGATCACAACAATAAAATATTACTCTGTGGTCAGCTTTGTCAATTATGTTCCGTGTCCCGAAGCAAAAGAGAAGCATATGGGCTCAGAAGCAGAGCTATCATTTCAATGTGGGATAGGCCGTGATTAGACGATTATCCGTGATGTCCGTCACGGCAAATATGCCATAACAGGGTTTCCCATTATAACCATGTATACCCACCTGGAATGGGAAATTCTTTTTGAAGACCTTTCTCCCCTTCTTTCTTCCATGTGGAAGTATTTGATCAGGGTTCCTAGTTGTTTGCGTTACCAAATTAGAGACATATGTCACATCACGTGACAGGAAATAACTCTTCCCAAATTTTACGGGTGGCATGTGGCGGGTAATGATATGCTCCATCTTCCTCGCCCATTCCTATAGGAGAGGTTGGGGAGTTTATATATGCCTCGCCTGAACCTCGTTTCTCCTTATGGTAAAATGCAGTCTTCGCTCAGGCTGTGGTGTGCTAAACGCACGCGCATCGTATGGTCACATATATTTTTGGGACCACGGTTCTGTTGGCTAGCGCCATCTTCTCATACAGTCTCTTACTTCTTGTTTTTCTGCTTCTATCGAGTATCAATCGAGCAAATAGCGAGCAACTTTATTTACCTGCTGCAACATGGCGACTTCTTGGATGAAAAATGCTTTTGAACGTTTCCTTTACTTCTTATTTCAACTTTACTACCTATAAGGGTAGACTGATTTGTCAATTCTATGAAGCTCAAGTCATGGATCGAGGCTACTTATTTATCTTCAAGTCTTGCCCGACAAGTTTCGAGGACGGACCGTTGTCAAGATGAAATGAAATATGAACGTTGTGGTTTGTGCGTATGTCAGTTTTGATTACAACTACCCTCGTGTATTCTCTGGTAAATACAAAAGTACGTTTATCAGTGCACAAACTCAGACGACTCGACCAAAGGTCGCTTCGCAGATGGAGGCGAAACATGATGATGTCCCACGATTTCTCAAGGACGCACGTGCAAACACACTCAGGTCAGAGAGTCCTTAAGTCGCCTCGTCGTTTCATTGAATCTGCCGTCGCACTTTGCTTTAATTCACCAAAGTACCTACTTAAGTGGCGAAGACAACTTCGCCTTCATCATAATCACCCTCACAAGTTTTGAGAACGATTACACTGGCTGATTGGCACATTCCCGTTCTACACGCGGTATCTGTTTGAAAAGATTAGTTAAATGAAGTTTGTTCTACTAAAAATCTACTTCTAAGGAGGGAGAATGCATTTGTCGTAATTGAAGTATATGCAAATGCCATACGTAAGTAACATCCTATCACAGCGATTTGCGAGGCACAATTTTCAATATGTTAACTAATATGTGAGCTTTGATGTTCTTTAAAGGACAAAAGCTTACTTGAGCCACTGGGAATGCTAATCGTTGAAAAGCCACAGCGAATTCATAATTGGCCTTATCAACTCGCACTAGTTACTCGGAGAGGCCTTTGCTTGATGCTACAAACCCACATAAACTTTGTGATACAAGAGAACGGAAGGAATATTCACTTCCGGGTGCGTGGCTTAAAATGGCAACGATCTGCTCTGTCTGGGACCTCTTGGTTGTTACACACGTACACACAGAAGGAATTTATCGATTATAAATTATGCTTACTGTGTTGATACCGTTTTAAACTGAGAGATTGTGCTTAAATATCGTAGTTCGACGTGTTCGTCAGTTACGAATGCTGTCGTCGAGTTACATGGCGTAGTAATTTCTCTCCTTTCCTAAGGTGTTAACTTATGACTAAAGACAAGTTTCTTTGACTCATTGTTCTCCAACTATTTCTACCGTTTGATGTTTTAGAGACGGATGAATATCGATCGTTCTTCAATTTTATCTCTTTATCTCAGGCCACGGGTACTTGTGAAATGCCGAATAGAGCACCAGTTACTCAGTATTGGTTACTCAGTATTTGTCACATAACATACGGCTTCGTCGAACTGCTTTTGCTGTAAACGCTGTTCTTTCGGTGACATACTTTGTTGTGGCGCTGGATTCTTTTCTAATCTTTTAGGCTACTCATTTTACAAAAGGTCCACAAGACACTTACATCCCCAAGTGCAACGTTGCGCATATTGAGTACTGTAGGTTTCCTAATTCTAACCCTGTCTGACCAATACTCAAGTAGTGCTATTTAAAATTAGGTAGCGACAATTTTTCCAACAGAAAAAGGACAACAACAAGATCTTATAATGCAAATGTTAATCATTGTAACAAATCGATTTGTAATGAAATCGAAATAAGCTTTCAAGGGAGAGATAATACAAATATTAGGAAATGGATCATGTAATAATATTCTCCAAAGTTGACAAATGTTTGAATAGGTGAAGAATGTGATAGCGAACGATTTCGTTGTTTTCAATACCGTGCGATATAAGGATTCTGATAATTTTTCAACGCAACAGCAATTCATATCGTTCCCCTTATGGTACTGATTTGAGCTGTTTAGATATAATGAGAATCTGGTCAGTTATTTGTGAGCGATCCTCTTCGCATATTTTTTGGCGAAACGAGTAAGGAACTTATCAGGATGCACGCTCCTCAATAATCTCCTGATATTAATTTTCTGCTTTTTTGCGAGTATCACACCTCATTCCCTTTTTTCGAAATAAACGATGTTTAACGCCTCGTCCTCACGTAGCGCTTTACACCTTAATTGTATCATAGTCACAGCTTTCTCGTTCCATGAATAGGAACTTTATCGCTTCTTCGGCGAGTACCTCCAAAATATATCTGTGAAAGGAAAATTGTCGGTTTAACCGAAAATTCGATTTCTCTCGATGTGGCGCACACATATCCTTACCACTCTTTAGTTGTGTTTAAGTAAAAAACAATGTTTTAAAAACAAAAAGAAAAAACTTCTCTCTTGATACACAACTACTTGCTAACTTAACTTAACCAAACCTAAGTAACATGGACAACTGAATATATTTCTACTGCTAGTTACATAACGTTGCGTAATGAAAGGTGATCATACTAAATTCTTCGCAAGTTCACATTACGTAATGAACACTAATTTTAGTCAAAACCACGCATATGTCAAGCAAAACTGCCTCAAGTCTCGCACTCTATTCGGCACTCACTGAAAACGTACATGCCGTTTGGATTTTCCTTCCTATTATAAACTCTCTCTCAGGGTAGAATGAATTCCAGTCTCAGTCGCGGTAGATCGACACGGGGATATAGCTCTTTTCTTGAACAGTCTGTTACTGTTGTGATACTGTTACTGTTACTCGTCATCTTACCTGACAGCTGCGAATAATGAAGCTTTCCTTACACGTTTTGAGCCTAAAGTTCAAATGGTTGAGCTCATACGATCGTCTCTCATTTTGTTTGAGAGAGAAGTTTTGATGTCTTTTTACGGGGATGTAGCCAACGATTTTGCAACTTAACCAACAAGATTCCAATGGTTCTATTTCTTAACTGAGAATGTATATAGATATTTTCGTAAGCGCCTTTGATAATCAGCAATTGCAGATCGTTTTCACCAAAACCGGGGTTTTCGTAATTTTTGTCTGTAATCACACACTACCACTGCTGTGTGATTACGCATTCAGTTTATCTTCCCTTTTTTCTTACCATTGTCACAATCTAGCATTCTGAAAGTTTTACCTTCATTAAAATGATAATGGATTTGGAAAATATTATTAACCCAAAACCGATTATATTTTGGAAATAAGAGTAAGAAATTACAGTCAACTAAAGAGATGAATATTGTCTTAAAAAGTGGTGCAAGGGGAACAAAAAATGGCCAATTGTAAATTAATTAGCAAGGGGGATTTCTTCTCAATTATCGTACTCAGTCACTGGGTGCTTTGATATTCCTGCCACAGTCCATCTGTTGGTCAAAATCAATCAAATTTGTAACCTAAGGCTGACGCAGTTCGACGAAGCCGTATCTTGCGTGACAAATATTGAGTAACCACATGATTGCGATTGCATAATCATACATAATTTGTGCGTCTTCCTTTTCCTCGTTTCAATCACATCACGGTGAATTTTTCATCAAATCACGCATCACGGAGAATTTTGTTAACCAATCACGCGTCACGCAAGAAAGAGTAAGTACGCTAAGCTAAAAATGTAAGATTTCAACCTATCGGATGTATTATTTAAAAATCATATTGCATCCACCGTTATTTGTCCTGGAACGAATTGCTTCTCAATTATCACATTGCTTTTTGTTAGACAAATAAAGACGACTTTCCTCTTGAAACTAGAAGCTCCGAGGGCATTTACTCGTCCGGGCATCCTGTACTCAGTAGTCGTGGTTTTGACGACGTTTTCTTATTTTGAAGTCATATATGGCTCATCAGTTATCCCGTAAGAACTAGTATGAACTTTTCCGTAATTTGGCTACCTTTCAATATGCGGCCTCTCGTGGCTCCAAGAATCTTGCATACGAATTGAGAAGAGGTCTACGCCACCTTTAGTATTCTTTGATACATGGGCAATGTTTGTGTGAAAGGTTTGCTCAATCCCCTTCTGTACGGCAACCGTCTTTATGTCAGTAAAGGATATAACGTGGCTTTTGAATTCGTTTAGGTCTTTATGACGACCTTGGAAAAAGTTTGTGTACCACTAACTGGTACACAAAATGTTTCCATGTGTACTGGCTCATTTCTTACATTACCATCTTCTCGGGCGGCATACAATGACACCAAAACTCTATAGCCTTTTCAGCCGTTTGGGTCGACATTCTTTCAGATCTTTCATTCGATGGATTCGGTTATTATCTGGTCTTTCTGGTTACGATCTGACGCACTACCACGACCAGGCAGTCGACAAAAATAACACAGAAGGTCACAGTCCTGGTGCAAATGTTAACTATATTAACTTATACCTATTGTGTTACGATTGTTTGGACCTGCCACGAAGATCAAAGACATCTAAGGTCAAGCATAGGTCAGCAGAGGACGGAAAAGACCAGAAAATAATAACACGGCTGCCATGGTTTATTGATCTTCGTTAACACTCCATTTACTTTGAATTGGGCTTAGAAGTGGAGCTGACTGAAGATGCAAATTTGTGAGGATCAGGCTAGCAACTAGAGGTATTACTTAAGCACTGCCCTCCTGTAGAATTTTTTTGCAATTCTACTTTGTAGGAAAGGCTGTGATAAGAATATTACTCCTCCTATAGCATATGGCTGTTACGCTGTAACATACGTTTTGCTATTTACCACCTATTCCTGTTTGGTGGGGAAATTCCTTTTGGTATATCCATTTATTGTCATCAGTATCATGCGGTACTGGCTTATCGGGGCTAACAATTGCTTGCTTGTCCGGGTTGCATATGGTGAGTTCTAATATACTCCATCTTCCTCAACGTTACAGTTTGTGCGTATGTCGGTTTTGAGTAAAACTACCCTCGAATATGCACTGGTACATACGAAAGTACGTTTATCAGGTTACAAACTCAGACGACTCGACCAAAGTTCGCTTCGCAGGTGGATGCGAAACATGATGATGTTTTAGGATGTCTCAAGAGCGCAAGTGCCAACACATTCAGATCAGAAACTCCTTAATTTGCCACGTCGTTTCGTTAAATCTGCCGTCGCACTTTGCTTTAATGCACCAAAATACCAGGTGGCCAAGACAACTTCGTTGTCATCATATAATCGCCCTCACAAGTTTTTAGAACGATTTCACCGGCTGATCGGTACATTTCCGTTATACACGCGGTATCTGTTTGAATCGGTTAGTTAATTAAGGTTTGTTCGACTAAAAATCTACCTCTAAGAAGGGAGAATGCATTTGTCGCAGTTGCAGTATATGAAATTTCCACACGTCAGTAACATCCTATCACAGCGATTTGTAAGGCACAATTGCAATTTTCAATATATTTTTACTAATATGAGAGCTTTGATATTCTTTAAAGGACAAAAGCTTACTTGAGCCACTAGGATGCTAATTGTTGAAAAACCACTGCAGGTTCATAATTGGCCTTATTAACTCACGCCAGTTACTTGGAGAGGCCTTTGCTTGATGCTACAGATGTACATAACCTTTGTGATACAAGAGAACGGAAGGAATATTCACTTCCGGGTACCGTGCGTGGCTTAAAATGGCAACGATCTGCTCTACCTGAGACCCCTTGATTGTTACACACAAATAGAAGTTATCGATTATAAACTATGCTTACTGTTACGACCCCGTTTTAAAATGAGAGATTATGCTTAAATTTCGTAGTTCGACGCGTTCGTCAGTTACGAATGCTGTCGTCGAGTTACATTAATTCTCTCCTTTCCTAAGTTATCAACATATGACTAAAGGCAAGTTTCTTTGACTCGTTGCTCTCCAACTATTTCTACCGTTTGATGTTTTAAAAGTCGGACGAATATCGGTAGATAAATGAATAAATATCGATCGTTCTTCAGTTTTATCTGTTTACCTCTTTTATTAAATGCTCAACACAATTTACAATGAAGTACCGGATGATCAGTAATGCACCCGCTGACCGCTCCTACAGGCTACGGAGGCTTTGTAACGTGTGATTAAGAGGTCTTTTCTCGCCGTTTTGATAAGAAAGAAAGAAGATGCGAAATTTTAAACTGCTTTACTTGAATTAAGTCTGTAGTATTTTGCAAGCTCCATGTTTTTTCCGTCTGTCACATTGTTATGGTAACTGGTTGAGTGATCAGAATAACTTGCACTTCGTCATTAACTTTCTTATAAACCTGAGAGGAACTAGTTTGTCGAATTATCTGGAAATGCTGACTCATTGTTTTCAAGTTTGTCGCAGGACTGAAATATTGGCAAATTTCGTGCTTAAAGAGGAAAAAAATGTGTTTACCTCGAGATCTGTGAAAGAAAGCCTGTTTTTGTAGCACAATAAACCCACGAGAGTAGTTTATTTTTGTCTTCAGTGACAAAATAAATCACGTTTTTACCTGGAATACGATTTCAGACAAAAATTGCACAATATAATACTGGCCACTTCCCTACAACTGTTTAAAATCGCAAAATTTAAACGCCCAAATACATAATTCTAGTTTATCATATCGCTGGCAGTGCCCATGAGTAATATGAAGAGTGCTCTGGTTGGCTATCCGAGCGGGCAAGATGAGCCCATTCCGCCCGACGGAATTGCCCGCTCGGGATTGCCCGCCGGCTTTGATCCCGCGCAAGGAAAAGAAGTGTGTGTAACGGACTTAAATAGTTCGAAATTTTGGGACAATGTCGGCCATGGAGTCGCAAAAAGCGGCAGAAGATAATAATAATAAGAAAAAAAAACGAAGCAAATATAAACGAATCTGGTCGTTTTATTGAGCTACAAACAGAAATGACTATCCATCCCGGCCCTCGAAATAAATAAGTCATTCTCGATACTTAAATGTTAGAAAGCGAAATCTATTTGCTTTATGATAAATTCTTGATTGACCAAGCCAAGAGCCCATTACTTAATTGGCTCCTGTCAAGCTTGTTCGCACAAGATAGCTCAGCCTCGTTCTTAATTGCGTTTTTATTGGAAAATAAAAACGAACTCGGGCAATATTCAGCCATCTTGACCTCACGCTTGATCGATAACGCATATATATTCCACACAAGCGAATAGTGCTTTTCGCGCGCACTGATTGGCTACTTCGGAAGCGATAGGTAAGTACGGCTCTTCACCTCTGAGCAGCCGTGGAGACAAAATCGAGCGTTAACAATCTAAGTTCCGACCATTTTAGGGTATATTGACAGAAATAAACTGATTTTATTTTGGTTTCTCTGTAGTATGTACTAAAACAATTTTCACCTCAGTGTTGGTGAAATTTATGGAAATTAACCACTATTTACCTCCACTTCGGTGATTGTTACTTGGACAACTCAGACATCTTACTGATCCAGTGGTGAGCTGGTTTAAACAAACAAAAAAGTTGTTAGGGAAAAAGTTTCAAAATTTGCGTTGCTGCAATTTGATCAGTTACTTCAAACAAGCCTTGAAACGTACTTGGTTGTTTTGGTTTAATTTTGTTTTCTTATTGGCTGGGAGGAAATGCGATTTTGAGCAAAAATAGTGTAACTAGCGAATAAATTGCATTGCTGAGAGCCAATCAGAGTGCAAGGATTATCAATGATTTCAAAATGGTTGAAAAAATATTCTTAAAGTACATTGCTAAAAGTCGATCGGAAAAATTAGCAGTGAAATGATGCTGTGTTTGCTTCATCCCAATCTCGTGGAAATTTCATATTTTGTGGTTTAGTCATCCATGACAACTCAAAACTAAAAGAGCATCGCCTCGAATGTGGAGCTTCCCTCCCAACTAGTTATCACACACGCTTCATGGCGTTGGAAACGCTGTGATTAATCGTTTATAGTTTTTATCAAGTATAACTGTTACGTTATAACATGATTTTTTCGTATAGCCATGTTTCCCTATTTCCACAGAATAATTCTTTTTTAGAACAATTTTATCGTTGTCATCCTTATGGGGCTCTGTTTGGTCAGGGTTAGCGATAGTTTGAATTATCAAATGTCTGATGTATACCACATCACTTGACACCCAAAAGCTCTTCCCTCTTTTTACTGGTAATAAATGTTTCTTTATTAAACGCTCCATACTCGAGCCCAATTAATGTGATTGTATTGCAGGGTTTTATATTCCCCACCCCTCTGTCGGTCTTCCTCGTGGTACATTTTAAAAAGCCTTCCTTTTTTCCTCTGTCCTATACGCACGCGCCTTAGCATGAAAAGAAGGATCTTAGAGCCACGAATTCTGTCGGCCAGCGCCTTCCTCTCTAGCGGTATCTCAAGCTGTATGCTTGAGTGTTTATTCCCTTGCGATTTATTAGTTTAAATGTGTTTTTTTTAACGAGTGATGTTAGTGTGTCTGCTGATACCTTATTATCTAGGAGGTTAAAGAGAAATATAATTTCCAAGAGGAGCTTCAAATCGGTGTCGAAACTCTATTTAGATTCATTTTGCAGATCGTCTTCCGGAGTAAATTTCGTCGACAGGTTGTTGTGAGGTTGGAGTGAAATAAGGGCCGTGAATTTCCTCGATTGTCATTTCTATCTAAAACAGAATTCCTCTTTTCTTTAGTCTGTGTCTGCAGTTACATTTTTCCTCTAGAAGCTCGAATAATTCTAATAAAAATCAAACGTAGTTCCGTCGATGAAGGTAACAGTTCAAGAGCTCTCCGTAATGCACGAGCACGTTCATTCAGAATTTTTAATTCAAATCTGTCATTCGATGTCGCTTCCGTCATCGTATTTTGCTTTAAGTTTCTAAAAAGCTACTACTCGGATGATCACGAAAGCTCCGTCTTTGTAATAGTTCTCCCAACAGTTGTTGCAAGGTACTGTACATGGTGCTCTCTTTTCTGAGTGGTAAGAATGTACTTGTCATTTCTATATATGTCATTTCCACGCTTTATCTTTCAATACAGCCATTGGGCTGAATAAAAAAAGCTATAAGTGTGATATCAAAGCTCCCGCTAATACGAGGTTGAGATTAAAACCAGAAATGGTGACGCGCGAAAGGCGACTTTTCCTTCAGTTTTAATAGTCTTTGACTCAAACCAATCCGTCGAAAAGGCTTCGTTCAAGCATTTCAAACTCGAAACAACGAACTTAATAATTGACTCACGCAAGAGGGATAAACTTTCCACTTTCGGGTGAAAAGCGTGGCTTAATAAGCAACCTCGTCGGTTTGCGCGTGAAACTCAACTACTTTATAAAAAGAGAAACAGTAACATCGTTCGTGATCAGCGATTTTACAAAGCAACCAAATTATGTTTATATTGGATGGAGCATTGCAATTCGGTTTACCGCAATTCAAAAGTTTTTTGCTAAGAACGCAGTAACAAATCAAGTCTAATAATTTCCAAAACTTTGCTAACTTCCCTTGACAACGTGTGTTCAGAAGCAAGATAGTTCTCTAACTTATTCTGCCGCTTGCGTTTTACGAGTCAGTTGATTGTTTACCACAAAGTACACCAATATCGTTTGCTTTCTCATCCATTGTTTCCCTCTTTTGCCAAGTCATTAAATATAGGTCATTCACTAATTACCCATTGACAGATCTTTTGAGAAATAACAGGGTTGTACTGAAGATTAAAGCGCTGTTGATGATCCAATTCTTTTCCTCAACGTTTCATAAACCTGTACAATTATTGGACGCTTTGCGGTAGCTATTCTTGGTTTGTCCTTGCATCGCAAAATTTTAAAAACTGCTCGGAAAACCTATATTCTGGAAAATAAATTAATTTCATTCGTCAAAAGCGTTAGACGACGAAGAAGGAAGTTCAACGAGAAACACCAAATCGAAAGAAGAGCTCGTAAATTTTCTAGCCGCTGGTGATGTTTTTCAAAAATTCCTCATCTCAACCGACCTGCGCGTAGGTAAACATAGTTGTATATCATTACAACAGTGGAGATACTTCAAATTATCTTACTAGCAATCTCACGTACTGAGAAAGCACATAATGCGTTCAATCTGGCGAGATTTCCTAATAATATTACAGCCATTAGTAGCAAAAATTTCAACGCGTAAAAACATCGTAACAGAATAAGATTCAGAAAATTTCTGGCTTAGCTGGAAACATTAATAATAAATAACTTTAAAAACAACACATTTTCTTTTTATATGTATAGTTAAGCAGTTCTTACAGATAACTGTACAAACTAAGAAAAAAGTCTGGGCATCTTATTCTTCTTCAGTAATCAAAATACGTATGGTCTTAACTTCTTTAGAACTCAGCTACTTTCAATTTAATTTGAAACACTGTATGCAATTCAACCCCAAATCGACAAACACCAATGAAAATAAATTTTATCATTGTATCATGACAATACTTCAATAAATAACTAATTTAATCATAGCCATTACAATTTCCTCAAATGTGATTGGTGCAGTAGCTACTTTATTTTTCACTAATTGTTCTGTAGAGTTGTAATCGGACAGTGTAATTGGACAATCGGACAGTTGAAGTAGCCAATCATACTTGGTCCTTTCGGTCAAATCCACCAATCACAGAATTGATCACAATAACCATAGCAACAACCTCTTCTAAAAAAGTTGTGGAATTTCCAAAGTTGAGGAATATTTTACTTAGACATTGTCTCTACTGCACATATTTGTCCTAAATGTAATAATTGTTGTCGGAAATTGAAAAAGTTATGATTAATTGGTAACAGGACTTTGTGTCATCCAATTCTGTCTGTAATCATACTCGTGATTGACAAATCGGACTCCCGCTTCGCGTTCGTCCGATTTTGTTAATCACTCTTATGATTACAGACCGAATTGAACTCCACTCGGTCCTATTACCATTATAAATAACTGAAATTCCTAAAACAGTATAGTTAAGTACAATTTTCCAATGATATTTAAAAAACTAGAGAATGATTACCAAGCTCACTTTCCTTCTCTTTGAAAGAAAATGGTTAAATTTAAAGCAATTGTTGTAATATCTACAAGGTATTAAGAAATCATGTAAAACAATATCCTTTTTTGTTATCTTCAGAACAAAAGCACCTTTTGCTTCAATCTCTCTGTACTTTAAATTCTATCATACTCAGTTGAAAACACTTTTAACCCTTAAACTTTAAAGATCTGATGATTAATTCTCCCCTTGAGCTGGTACATATTTCTTTGTATATCAGTAACAAGAATTTGGTGACAGATCAAGACAACTACTTCTACCTGATAAGTTTGAGTGTTCTCATTATTATGGGGAGAAGTTACATGTGAATCACTTCCAGTAGTTAAAGGGTTAATCACCACCCCCCTTCCTCCACCCCCAGCAAAAATGCAGGGTGATATTAAATTAAATAAAATTCAAAGCAAGCATAAAATGGAATAACACCAAGTACAAATGTTCTCAAACAACATGAAGTGGTCCCCTACATCGATCACAACAGTCATAGGTTACTCTAAAGTTCCTTGTTGAAAATCTACTTTGATAATCATGTCCCATGTACTGTTGTGCCATTCTCTTCATGACACCTTTCAGCTGTTGTTCCTCTGCCTGGAGATTGACATCACTAGATAAAACCTAGATAAAAAGAAACCCAGGGAATTATACAATTCAGTCGAATGAAAACTACAATGTCTAGTATTCTGTCCCATGGATCTATCTCAAACCTTCCTGTCATCATGGTTGCATGCCTGTTTTGACAAACCCATCACACATTACTCCAAGGGCAAATTCATCTTAAAACTTTTTGTAATGTGCCTGGTTTATTGAGGGTTTCTGTAACTATTTCCCTTAGCAACTGCGATGACATAATAGGTGGCTGTGCCCAGAAAGAGGCCATAAGGCCCACCAAAACACAGGATCCTACTCACAACTTTTTAAGGTCTCATGGCTGGCAGAAGACTGCATATAAGACCTCTACAAGACCTATCAAACCCCTGGTTTATCCAACAAAACAAGCTTGATGCAAGACCACATTTGTGCCTTCCATATTTAACAATAAACAATAGACAGCTTGTTTGTGGTGTAAAAACTTTAAAAGTACTTAAAACATACCTAAAACTAAATCCACCTAATAACAACCTTCCTTAAAAAATTACACCAGTACCCAAATATGCCTGCTTCATTTAATAATCTTAGCAAGTTATTTTAAAAAAAGACAATTTCTAGCTGAGAAAATGTGAATTTAAATTTAAAACATTACTAACACTTATGTGATCACGGTTCTATGCTTTGGTTTTACATGTATGCCTCCAGGCTCCACTCTTTTTTCCTTAGAGAGAGGAGCCTGAGGTGATCTTGAATGGAGGTGCCGCCACGCAGTTGTAAATTACCCAGACTAGTCTCACCTGAAAAGCCAGTTTTTCAGCAGATGTTGGCTCAACCTGTTGCTGAGTCCCAGTTTCCTGCGACTTATGTGTCAACATTAGTGATGTTTCTGCTAATGAGAAGGCTGGTAAAACATCATGTGCAAGACTAAGGGTCTGTTCTGCTAAGGACTTGTTTGCAGCAGCCATTTCTAAGATGCTTTGATCATTTGAAGTTTGAGATGAAGTAAAGGGGCTCTGATGAATGCCACTTGTACTTTTGAACATTGAGTAAAGTGATTGAACTAACCTGAAATAACAAAAACCAATTTATGGATATATTATGTCAGGGAAAATTTGCATCCTTGTTTAATTAAGTCAGATTATCACCAGGGTTAAAAAATTTAAGTTGAAAATGGTTTCTTTTATAAGATATTCTCTTTTTAAAGGGAGGGTATTAATGATTATTGCATGGCAAGGTAGTCCTGAAATAAATAAAAGCACTTTGATTGGTTCTTAATTAGTCCTTGTTTTGCCATATGAACCATTTCTACCAAAACTGTCATAAACTGTGTAGTTTTGGTTGCAAAAACCAGCAAACAAGTTTGGTCTGAGTGCCATATAATAGAATACCCACCAACCTTGCTTGCTCAAGACACACTGGGGTAATATTAGCCCTTGGTTGTTTTTGTACAGACCTTGCTGCACTCAGTCTATACGGCCACAACCTTGGGCCAATATTTCTTGGTACGGCTTTTGATCTCAGTTAGTCAGAAGTTATAACTTTAATACCTCTTGGTATGAGTGAGGTATTGCTGAAGCTGTCCTCTTTCCTCCAGTAATCTTTGTAAAGCACTCTGAGCTTGTCTGAACCTGGTGTAGAGAGTTGCCTTCCAACTGGACAGTTCATCAGACATCATTCTGAAGTGAAAAAACTTACAGAGATCAATTCATGTTTCTGGTTATAGAATAACTTTAAAATATCTCAGGGGCATCTTGCAATAGACTGGCATCCCAAAAGGAGTGGCAATACTCCTGATCATTATATGAAACAGAAAATATGCCACTTTTCTCCTGGAAACCCTCTTTACCTGCTTGCCAGGAACTTTGTCCTCCAGACATCACACTCAATCTCTAATCTGTCAGATTCTTCTGAATATTCCTCACACATCTTTTTCCAGTGATTGAGCTCTACAGTTTGCTGCACATTTCTGTTCACCAGGTCTTCCAACCTAACCAAGATCAAAACAAACAGGACTCATCAGGAAAGTTAGATATGACTTCTTGTGTGAGACAATCAAATTTTCTTAAGGGGGGAAAAATACTGACAGAAAAAGGTTTCTTCCTGTCTTTTGCATTGGCTAAATACCTGTAATTCATGTGCAATGATAAATACAATGTAATCAAAGAATTCACTAAATGTAACAATGGATGACACGACTACCTCTGCACAGCAGGATTTCTCAGCTTGAGAACAATCCAACTCGGTGTGGGTAACATGGCAAAGGGGTAATCTTATTTTTATTCAGAATCTTAGACAGATTTCCAAAATGTCTGTAGTGGAACCCTTCCACCCTGTCAACAGATTCCTAAGTTCATATGAACTATTCCCCCCCCCCAAAAAAAAAAAACATTCCAATACTCTTTATATATTTGAACTGATAGTTTAAAGTACCTTTCACCAACATCTTCTCCCACTGATGCCACCAGCAACCTCTTAATTTCTGTATTAATCTGGAAAAAGACAACTCAATTTTAACAAGTTTTGCTTCTGTTATATTTTCCATCACCAATTGGCCAGCCAAGTGTGCTGAATATCGGGTGTCCTGCTGACTTACAAAAAATGAAATAACCTAAAACCTCTTAACATGAAGTATAACATGATGTAGGAATAATTTCATTTTTAATCACTTCTGGGAGTGAACTCTTTTTCCCAAAGACTTGCTAGCATTAATTGCACTTTACAGTATCCCCCCTGAAACAAACATTGAGGTCTTAAGAGTAAAGGAAACAATCACCATCTTAAGAAGCTGTTGATTGTTAAGTGAATTTTCCTTGTGGTTATTATAGAAAATAGTCAAATCCACCAATCACAGAATGGTTCACAATAACCATAGCAACAACCACTTATCCTAAAAAAGTTGTGGAATTTCCAAAGTTGAGGAATTTTTTACATAGACATTGTCTCTATTGCACATATTTGCCCTAAATGTATTAATTTTGTTGTTTTCAGAAATTATAACAGTTATGATTAATTGGTAATAGGACTTTGTGTTGTCCAATTCTGTCTGTAATCATACTCATGACAAATCAGGTGGTCATTCGATTTTGTTAATCACTCGTATGATTACAGACTGAATTGGACTCCACTCGGTCCTATTACCATCATTATTGTACAGGGTCATGCGCCACATTCAATTTGATCAAAAGTGAGTCAGGGAAACTGGGTCTTACATATTAAGGACAGACTTACATGTAAGGCCTCCCCAAAAATGTCATGGAAAGACAAAATGGCCCTTTTAACCTGCTATATTCACTGATGCCTCTTTCTAAGTTTGTCTTTTTCATTCTGCTTTTTTTTTTTTTTCATAAGTTCTTATCCTAAATATTTTAGTATTGCCAATAGGAAATTGGAAAAAGAAAAGGAAGACCAAATGAGATAAATCAACCACTTTCTTCCATCATTCTTTTTGTAAGGTTTACTAAAAAATCTTTGCTCTGGTGTACTCAACCCAAATATTTTGACATGTGTCCAATTAAATTGAAAAATAGGTTCTTTGCAAACCTTTGTCTGGACACCAAGCTGCACAGAGAGTTTTGTCTTCTCTTCAACAAGCTTTGCATTCTGTTCCTGAAGATCACTGATGACTTTCTGGCTGTCCACAAACTCAGCCCTTTGTTCCACTATAGTAGATTTCAAGAGACCACCTCCAAGACTGAGATCCATTGCAGGAGGAGCCAAAGACACAAGCTGATCATTTGCACTTAATGATAAACCTAACTCATTATTCAATCGCAGAAGCTCAGGCCCTTGGAGTAGAAGATTGGTAGAGTTCTGTCTTTGTACTGACTGAAAACGGACATCCTCATTTAACTGTGCACCTTCAGTTTTGGAGATAACATCTTTTCCCAATGTCTGTGATTGAGGGGATTCAGCTAAAGCTGTGTGACCACTCAATGTTCGCATTTCCTCCCTTTCAAGAATTTCATTCTCATTTCTGTATTTTATTGCTGAGATATTTGCTTGTATTGTTGTACCAGTTGTTATTTTAGCTGATCCATTATCAATTACGTTTCTTCCACTTTTCCTTTTCACAGTTGAATATGATAAACTGTTATTTGCTTTTTGTGTCAAGTCATTTTCTTCACTATCCTCTGAGAGACTGTCATTGCCAGAATTGCTTGATGAAAATTCCATTCCATCCCCACTGGATCTTGGTAACTTACTGTAATCCACTGAGAATGAACAAATGAAAACTGATAATTACTTTTAACATTCAGGGCTTTCATTATGGGCAGAGCACTGGGAAAATTGACCAGCTGAGGACAGAACTTTGCCCAGCTGCTTCTTCACATTTTATATAACACTGTCCTTGTCTTTTTTAGAACACTGTCCACAGTCTTAACAAAAAAAGTGACTGTCTTCCAAACTTTTATGGATGTGCATTCTCCTGGAATCCCCTCCCCCTCCTTCCCCCAGCTGAGCAAGGCTTCTTGGGCCTTGCAGATTTTTTCTGCCCAGAAGTCATATCCTGATGCCCTCCTGTTCAAAATCTTATTGAAACTGCTGAACATCTACTAGGTCTCACTCTTGTGGAAATGTCTAACGATAAGAGAGATTCATACCAAACTTGAACACCATTTTAGTGTACAACATTAAATTCAAGTTCGTCATCTTTTATACTTAAAAGGGTTAATTCAGTGTTACCATACCCAAAACATTTTCACCATCCTTTCCGCGATTGTGTGAGGAAATTCTATTAAAATAAAATAAAAAACTGTCATGATTTAAAAACGAAATGGGGACAAAACGTTATCAATAAGGATAATTCATACAACAACAGCCATAGTACTTCCTTTAAAATCTAGTAAGTAAATCTAGCTTACCGTTCCATCTCTAAAGGAAGAGGTTCACATAGGGTCGCCATGTTTTTTGAAGATCAACCACCAACAGCTTGGCAATTGTCGATCAGAACTGTGCATATAATAAACTGGTTCAGAAGCTGCGAAAGGGGAGAACACTTGAATGTAAGATTGAGAAAATGAAACATCAATTTGTATAAATCGCGATCAAAATGTTACTTCAAAGTACCAAAATACAGTTATAAAGGTAAATCTTGAAACAACACAGATCAATTTCGTGGTACAAAAAGCCAATAAGTAACATGATTACTCACTCGAAAAACCAGCCAAAGGAAAGTTTCCTTGTTTTATACTGTCGGTTGACAACGTGGAAGTTTCTAGCTCATCACGTGAATGGTAAAAAATTACGCAAATGGTAGGATGATAAGATTTCCGGGATGAGAAAAGATCCAGTTTATCTAACTCTTGAAGAATCTGAAAAAATCCAGCTGATAATTCTAGGGTTATTCGTATTATTTAAGCCTGATAAAATACCCCTCGGTTGAGCACAAAACTTTTAAACCGAAGTCACACCAAACGTCCGCCATGTTGTTTGAAATGTCCCAGAATTCTTTGCCGCAGAAATAAAATAACTGTGGGTCTTTCCGGGGAGGAGAAAGTGAGTTGCATTTTTCACAGCTGTTAGGGAACCAGTGCGTTGTCGGCGAAAAAAACGAAAATTAATTTGAATGAATTTAGAAAAATTTCATTGAATTATTCATGACCTTTTAACTGCATCAGTTCGGCTTACTTTGCTTTTACTAATTTTTGTCGTAAATCTGCAAAACTACCCCTCCCTAGAGAATAGTTTTTGTGCGGATAAACATTTTAATTGTACGCGCTTTGTTTGAAAATGGCGCGTTACGCCCGCTGGAAATATTAGGTTAAAAAGTTGCTAAATTAGCCTAGAAAGAAACCCGTTTCATGGCGTCTAGGAATAGGGAAAATGGCACCAGACTTCGAAGAAAAAATGCAAGAGAATTAATTGGAGAGGAACGAAAGATCTCAAGTTATTACAACTTTGTTACGGACGGTGAAGAAATCGACAGTGATTTACCTGTACCAAACTTGTCCTTTGGCCTCGCATCCACCCTTGTTACCTGTGTGTCTGTTCTTTGTTATTATAATTCATGCAAAGGCGAGTTTGTCTTCGACGATTCTGAAGCAATTGTGGCGAACAAGGACTTGACGCCCGACATCCCGCTTGGAGAATTGTTTTATCATGACTTCTGGGGTGCGAACATCAGTTCCAACACCAGCCACAAAAGCTATCGTCCCTTCACTATCCTAACATTTCGATTCAATTATTGGCTGGCAGAAGGACTGCATCCCTGGGGGTTTCATGTTGTCAATGTCACACTCCATGCTGTGGTGTCAGTCTTATGTCTGAAACTCTTTTCGATCATTTTCAATGGTAAAAATAATGTTAAATTTTATTGTGATAATAAATCCTCCGCAAGAACTCGTTTCACAGCCTCAAGGGCAAGTTTAGTCGGTGCGATCCTTTTTGCTGTTCATCCTATCCACACAGAGTGTGTAAGTACGAACATTTATTTTATTTCACAGTTAAATTTTTACTTATTTGACCTTAGCGTAAGTTAAGAGTTAAGTAATTTTAACATCTCATCATTATTTAATGTTGTCCTTTCCAAGCTTGTCGCAGGTAGTTTAATTGAAAGCTTACTTGCAAGCTTGAATTTTTAAAGGTTCAAAGCCGTTTCGCCCAAATCTGTTTAATTTTATTAACTGTTCCTTGCATCCTTTTTTCCCCGAGATATAGTCCAGTGCATGGCTAAAGCAGTTTACTTTCTATTTTAATTTGTTTTGGTGATATTTTATATTTAAATGTTATAAATTATTTAAGATAGTACATGTGCTCTCACTGGTAGATAAAATAAAATAAACACGGTCGTGATTTCACACTTTCTGTGTTTGCCAGACATATTTCATGAAAGCTACTGAAGACTTTTTTCCCTGTTTGCATAGAAAAATCCTAACACTTGGGGTTTGGGAGTATTCTTGAAAGTTTTACAAACTTGGATTTACATGATTTTCTCAAATTCTCCCAATCCCCTCTGTGTTTGGATTAGGCTATAGTTAAGTGGAAAAAGTCCCCTATTGCTTAAGTATTCTCAAAAATGTTTACAGTTGGGTGCAAATCCTTGAACAAGAAATATTATGTTGTTGATAGTATTGTTCAGGGAGATACTGTTATGTGAGGCTTTCTTGTATGCAGATTAATTATAATGATTTATTCTAAGGAAACTGATTTTTGTGCAGGACTACATGTTTAACACCACAGGTTATCAACAATCATGGGTTAGCTGTTTATAAAAACTACCCCACATGCATGTGCTGTGAAATTGAAATTTAGATTTAAAATAATTGATCATACAAGTAACTTAAATGATGCAGCCCAGAGGAAAAACAGTTGTCAAGATTTATGAAATCAGTGTACTTTCATTAGGCATCAGGGATTGGAAAATTCTCTGACATCTCTGCAGAATTCTCTAGCAAAGTTTTGATGGCCTTAGATATTTTTTCATATTCTTTATGATATGGAAGATAATTTCTGTGGCCTATTATTTATGATATGGAAGATTACTTCTATATCTAATCTTAGAGTGGCAAATTGGATTTCATGGTAAACAAATAAGTAATTGATTGGGAACACTGTTTATCACTGGTACCACCTTGAAAGATGAGATCCCTGCTCTTCTTTAATGAACCACTGAAAGCTGTAGTTAATTAATAAGATGCCAGAAATTTTGCCAAATCTTATCATAAAGTAAGTTGTTTGTGACAAGGACAGTTCTCTGTGCCAAGCTTCCTGATGTTTGCTTTAATAACAACTGAGTTGATGAAGTAAATTGGCCATGGTAAGGATTTCCAAAACTGATGTTTCAAGCATTAGCCCTCCTTCAGAGGGAATAATGAAGGCCAACACTGGAAATGTCAGCTTTAAAACTCTTTACAGTGGCCAATTCACACTATCAACTCAGTTGATAATACTAAATTACCCTGTTATACTCTCCCACTGACGCAGCACCACAGTTTCTTTAGAAACTTACCCCCTTTATTCATTTGATGTTTGCATTGCTGAGTGAACATGCTGACATATTATTTTGTTTTCTGTGTCAAAGGTGGATATTACATGCCTCAATAAATTTTGAGGAATGGCCTGCTAGAATCATGCAATATGTCAATTAGGCTTGAGTATGAAATATTTTGTTTCTGTTTTTTTATTTATTGACATATTTTTATTTACTTTTATAGGTTTCAGGTTTGGTTGGAAGGGCAGATCTTCTTGGTGCTTTGTTTTTTATCCTCTCATTTCTATTTTATGTGAAATGTTGTTCTGTTGGTGAGTATTAATCTAAAATGTCAACATAATTTATTTTGGGATTGTGTAGCCTATAACAAGGCCAATTTAATGATTGGTTGATCACTATTTACTATGTATTCTGTTAGCTCTTTGAATGGAGTTAATCTTATTATTGTCAACAAATCCTGCGAGAAAAGCTCAGTGTTCAAGGATATTCAGTTTTAACTCTTTACCCTAAGAGGGACCAGCTTCTTATTTCTCCATTAATTAGTATAGTTGAATCACTCTTTTAGATCACAAGAATAGAGAAAATGATTGCCAAGCTAAGAAGCTTAAGTGTTGAACAAATTCTCCTTGTCAATATTTAAGGAAATGTATGGAGAAGAGTTTGGAGAATATGGAAACTGATTTTAGGGTGGAGAGGGTTAAGGAATTATGATGAAAAGTAAAGACAGATGTTGTTTATCTTGTCACAAATGTAGCAAAGAGATAAAATCTGAGTTCATCAGGAGGAATCAAACCCCAGACCTACAGATTTTGCACTGTGATGCTCTAACACTGAGTTACAGAGGAGTCTATGGCGCACTAAGCCATTGCAAGGTTGATATTTAAAATAACTAAAAATGTTTGATGTTTGCAGATTCTGATGACAATGGATCAATGTATAAATTGCCATGGAAATATCTTTTGTCAAGCATGGTATCTTGCTGTATAGCTATGCTTTGCAAGGAGCAAGGAATCACTGTTCTGGTAATATAACTCATTTTAATGAAGTGGACATCAGTGACAACCTTGGCTGCACCTTCTGTTCCACTTTTTTTGCTCTTAACTCATTCTGATGTCATCTCTGATCTATCACTGAACAGATGCATGTCAACATTGAATCTATTTGTTAATTTGCTATTCAGTTTCCAATTTTTTTTTTACACCATTCTCCTGCACAAACATTTTCTTATGGAAATCTTAAAATCCTCATTCAGACATTCAATCCCACATAAAAAAATCTTGGACCTTTCAGTAACTTGTTTGAAATGATGGAAGTTGGACAGAAAAGTGATGACAGTGAAATAGTGGTTTAAGATGTTCCAACACAATCGTTATCTTATTCAGTGTTATCTCTATGTTTACTCGCAGGGAGTCTGTTGTGTTTATGATTTAATTGTGGCTTGTGAAATCGACCCTGCCTCTCTCTTGACGAAAGTCTCCTCAAAGGTCTCTTCACCTGAGAAGAGAAATGGAGTTGATTCAAAGGTAAAAATAGAGAATTCTGTTTCATTCATCAAAGCCTTCTTATAAAAGCTTCTTAACTAGCAAGGGGTTCCTTGAATGCAAGTTACAGTACCAATCTGCGTTCACCATGATAAGGGCCTACAGAATATCCTTTTAAATAATTAAAACCAGGTTTAATTTTCAATCCTGGGTAATTGCTTATGACTTTTTGTGTGACAATGACATTGAAAATTGATGGTATTGTCCATGACAGTGGCAATGCTAAAGACAATGACAATGATAGTGATAGGGACAGTTACAGCGGCACAGAGACAGAGACATGGATGGTAACTGTGACTTTTACAATGACAATGACATGGCAAACATCAATTACACTGACAGTGACAATGGTAGTGACAGTTACAGTGGCACAGAGATAGAGACATGGATGGTAACTGTGACTTTTACAATAACGATGACATGCAAACATCAATTACACTGACAATGACAATGATGGTGACAGTGGCACAGAAACAGACATAGATTTTGACTGTGATTTTGAAAATCCCAATGACATTGCAAACATCAATTACACTGACAGTGACAGTGATAGTGACAGTTACAGCAGTACAGACAGACATGGATGTTGACTGTAATTTTGACAATGACGATGACATTACAAATATTAATAACACCTACAATGGCAATGATAGAGACAGTTACAGCGGCACAGAGACAGAGACATGGATGTTGATTGTGACTTTGACAATGACGACGACATTACAAACATTAACAACACTAATAATGGCAATGATAGAGACAGTAAGAGTGGCACAGAGACGGAGACATGTATGTTGACTGTGACTTTGACAATGAAGATGACATTACCAACATCAATAACACCAACAATGGCAATGGTAGTGATACTGACAAGGACCACGATAACGACAACGACACCGATAATGACAACGACACAATCATTGACTTCGATAATGATAGTAACAGTAAGAGCGGTTACGACAACAGCAAGATTAATTATAATGATAAAGATATATATAGTCACATTGATACTTTTAGTTTATTTTTAAACTTAATAACAACGATGATAATTAAACAAAACAAAATTAGAATTAGGAGATGGTGATCTTTACCCTTAATGAAGTAATTCAACTGATTGCGAAAGTGGAGAATTTAACTTGGGACTTCCTGCTAATTCAAAGGGTAGATAACGTTATCTGCTGAATAAATAGCTCTAAGATTGAGAGCGCAGTACGTTTTATTGACATCTATCCTCTGGACAGCGATTTATCCCTTGGATAGCGTTATACGCCCTTTGAACAACTGGGCTCAATTATCAAACCGCTTTTAAGCTTTAGACTATCTCCTCACTGATGCTAATTATGCTGCTCTCTTTGTCGTAGGAGAAAAATGAATCAACCCTCTGGATAAAGCTTGCTTATCGCCAGATAGTCCTGTTCCTTGCCGGAATAACTCTTCTAGTCGGGCGCTGGCGCATCATGGGGTCTTCTCCTCCGGTTTTCCAAGTAGTGGATAATCCTGCATCCTTTGAGGAGTCTCTTATTATGAGAGTGAGCATACTCTGTGTACATATTTACTTTTGAATATTTTTATTTGAAATGTAGTCTTGGGCTTGCTGTTTGAAATTTGAGAATTGGAGCAAAACAACAAATGTTCTAACCGTACAAAATTGGAAAATTAGGTAGCGTATGGAAGTGCTTCTCATGCACATGATTTTATCAACGAACACAAATGGAGTTTTACGTAATTTTGTTCCCTCAGACTTTAGATTCCGGCACCATCTAGAACTGCAACACAAATTTACCAGCTTGTGTAAGCGAAAATAGTGCTTCAGTTACAAGGTCTCACGCTCATGAGTTTCAAACGAGGAGTTTAAAGGTGTTCCTTCACGATGTATCCAGGCGGGTAACCGGTCAAGTCGCCCGAGGGTCATCTCGCCTGAAGCCATGTCGCCCAAAACCTGAGTCATGTTGCCCGAAATTTTAGTTATGTCGCCCGAAAAAAAAAGTCAAGTCGCCTGAAGAAACAAATACTAAAGAGATCAGAATTTCAGACTGTAAATAGGTAATAAAGTTTAGAAATTTTATCACTAATGTGCTCTTTGTTTCCGACAACACCATGAAGATTATAAAAGTGTTGTTCGTTCCTAACAACAAAGGGAAAAGGTAACTCTCGGGGCTCCAGAGAAAGTTTTAGGATGGAAAAGACTGACAAGGATTATGCCTAAACCGGGATATCAGATAACTTGATATCTTAAGTTGTGACAAGAAATAAATACTTCTTTTCGTTGTTGACAGATCATCAACTACAACTACCTGTACGCTATCAATGCGTGGCTCCTGATTGTACCACAATGGCTGTGTTTTGATTGGTCCATGGGGTGCGTGCCGTTGATCAACTCCTTGTCTGATCCGCGCATGCTTTGTATCGTCGGTCTGTGGACAGTGTTACTGGTGCTTATCGCTTACTGTGTTTTCGGGAAGAGTTTACCAAACAAACGGTATGTTTTAACGACATTGCCAGGTTTTAAGCTACGCAGGATAATCTACATCTAGGTGGCCTTTTTTTATACCACCCACCGCCCACTTTCGCCGGGTTGTGGCTTTGGAAGGAGACTAAATAATTACATCAACTAGCAACTTTACCTACGATATATTTCCAATCCACAAAGGCCATGGCCTACCTATGAAATACCATTCTTCGTTAAGGGTTTGCTCAATGTCTTCTTAGGATTCTGACGCTGGGATTAGCCTTCGTGGTTGTACCGTTTCTTCCTGCGACGAACATCTTCTTCAGAGTTGGTTTTGTTGTGGCTGAAAGAGTTCTGTATCTCTCTAGTATCGGTTCCTGTCTCCTCACTGTCCTCGGGTTTACCTTGCTAAGCAAGTTCTCACTGGGAAAGAAGGTGAGTAAGGGCCTCACTTTGGATATTTGGAGTCTCTCTCGTGTCCAGCATGCTCACATGGCTTGCAATCCTTACAACTCAGATATGGACCCACATAGAGACATCCAGGAACCCACGATGGAAAACGATGCTTTGGAGAAGAGGGGAGGAAATGAAGAGAGGAATGCATAGGAAGCCGCCACGCTTAAACACCTAGAAATACATCTCGTGTTGTCACGGAACAAGTGCACAAATTTTGAACCAAACTCTGATACCTCTGATCTCTATCAACATTCCAGCGACGCGCTCTTTGTTTTTAACCTAGATTAATTGCATTTTTATATTAAAAAATTTTTCTTATCCATTAAGGTTATAGGATTCGGCATGGTCTTGCTCATAGCTCTGTATTTGTCGCGAACAATACAGGTAAGGTGTGAATCTATGTAACATTTTATTTTTAATACTTTAGATTACGTTGAGTACGAGAGTATCAACGGTACATTGCGCTCTGTTTTTCAGAGATCTGCTGAATGGATAAATGAAGACACGTTATTTACGTCTGGATTGTCAGTTTGCCCGCTTAATGCTAAGGTATTACATTTGAATTTTGAAGGAAATTTGATATAATTGGTTCGAGGTTGGATTTAGTCAAAGTTCATGTGATTTTCATAAGATTTTGCATGCCTTTAAGTCAAGGTTCAAGCTTGTTTGCAACGAAAAATTGATTAGCGTACTGCAACACTCTCTGAAGTAAACAAAAAGGTTTTTTTCTCATTACGTGCGCTACAAGGCTGTGTCGAACAATTGTTAAACGCGTTGAAATAAAAATTTCACAGTAGGCAACAAATCCGGTACCAACTGCCTCGTTAAAGCTGAACTCGAGCCAAGTGTTTCGGCGAACTAACTTGTGTGGTTCAACCAAACGGTTGTTAAACTATCCATTTGCACCTTAAACAGGTGCACTATAACGTCGCTAAAGTACGAGGAGAAAAGGGACGAGTTGAAGCTGCCGAAGCATTTTATAGAGAAGCTATCAGGTAAAGATCTTTGTCAGCTATAATGATCTGTTGTCCGCTGCTTTGTGCTCAAATCTGGCGTGTAAATACTATTATATAAACTATCTAAAGCGGAGCAGGCCATAACTACCGCAGATCTTCTGTTGAGATCTTTTTGGCCAATTTTCTTGCAGCACGAACTCGCAGACAGCTATTTTTTGTACTCACGAGAAGCGGAGCATTTTGAGAATGAAATGTCTCGACATGAGAATAGACTTTTGTTTCAGATTAATTAACAATTATTCCATGAGTATGCGTCTGATTGGCTATAACCAATCTCGTATCCAACAAGCGCGAATGGAATGAATTTTATTGAGTTGAATTTTCCACAACGCACAAGAGTAGTGTTTGTTTCCAGCCAAAAGTAGATTTAGCTCTACAACACTTGGGTAAATCATTTTCCATATAAGTTGATTCGACATATGAGCTGATAACCGGAGCTGAGTGAATCACTCAGACCACTAGAAATGCAATTTCTGGAGTCTGAAATTTTATAATTCCGAATATCTTTGCACTCTTCTTGGAGCTCACGCTGCTCACAACTATATGTCTCCACTACTTTTCCGAATTTTTCTCGCTTTCACGGGAGTGCTCTCTGACTTTAACGTCCTTGATTGAACACAATGCAATGATGACACTTAAATGTTTGTGAAAACTTACCAGTACTCCCCATGTCATTTTCGAGATGACCGTCCTAAGTTCACGCAACCTCTTACGCTAGAACCCAGTGTGTAGCTCTTTTCCAACCCGAGACGTTTGTTTTCAATATTTATCGCGCAGGTTGAATCCAACGTATGATCAAGCGTTTAATAATCTGGGAAACCTAATAAAGGTAAACGTATATTTTTCTACAGCTATAGATGATGCCTGTAACACCAGCGTCATCTTTCCTTTGTGACTCAATAGATGATTCTTCAAAATATGTTTCTTCTTAAAGAATGAAGGCTTACTAAGAGATCATTCTCTGTTTAAAGGACAACGGCAGATACGAAGAGGCAGAAGCACTTTTGGAGAAAGCTGTAGAAATTAGGTTAGTGCTGAAGCGAGATACAATGTTTTATTTATAACATTTATCTCATGACTCAGCTTTATTCTCAGTAATAACCAAAGATTTGACTTCTAGTGATAATTTCTAAGTGTTAACCCAATGAGTGACCAGCATCTAATTTCTCTTTACAATAATACTGCCCAATTATTCATTAAGATCATGATAGCCAACCTACGAAGCTTTGATTGTTAAACGAATTCTCCGTTTTAGTACCAAAGGAAATGTAAACAGGAGGGTATGGAGAATATTGATACTGATGTTGGGGTGTAAAAGATCGATAACGAACCTTTTAAGCATCGATTATTTATCATCTATTTCCTCAACCTGTTTATCATTTATGTTTCCGGTCAATCTGTAAACCATGAAATCTGCTGTGTGCTTTTATTTGAAACAGGAATGATTTTGCCGCTGGTTGGATGAACCTTGGGACTGTCAAAGCAGCTCTGCAAAAACTCGATGTAAGTAACCAAGAAATAAGAAATTATGTAACATTCCAGAATTTTGCCTGACTCTATTCTAGAATCATCTAGCGAGATCTATTGTAGCCCTCAACGTGATCTTTTGTGGCCCCTAGCGCGATCTTTTCTGGCCCCTAGCGTGACTTGCGTTCCCAACGGTTCTGTCACCTCTTCCATATTGTCATGATAACTCCTAGACTTGGATTTTTCCTAATTTTTTACTCTAAACTTTATTTTAAGGAGGCAGAAAAGTGTTACAGCAATGCCATACGCTACAGACGGAAATATCCAGACGCATATTTCAATCTTGGAAATCTGGTAAGAATTTTACTGTGTGTTTATTAACAAGAGTTCACATGACACTTGTTTTCTTTTTGGATTATTTACGTTGTTATTTTTCCTTCAGTACATAGACCAAGAAAAGCACAAAGAAGCCATTGTAGCGTTTAAGATGGCTGTCAATATAAAGAACAATCACGTGGGCGCGTGGATGAATCATGCTTTGCTATTGGAGAAGTCAGGTAAACGTTTAATGAGAGAGCTTTAGGCTACTCCCGGCACAAAGCCTTTTACTGTGTTATTTTAGAAGTGAAAACTATCGTGGTCTGTTGCTAGCGCGAAGAAATTTGAGACCCTGAGCGACTATGAAGTACAGGCTCGAAGTAACCACGACAAGGCAAATTTTAATTCATTTGTATTCCGTTCCTCCTTTACACACTTATTAGTTTCTCAACAGGGAGGGGTCTGGGTACGCGGCATGTGAAAATGTGCAACCGGTGTCAAGGGCGGGAATACGTGTGACATTTCGAACGGGCGGGAAACGTGTGACATTTCGGAAGGGCGGGAAACGTGTAGACAGTGGTAAGGGCTGGAAATCGTGAGGCTGGTGGCAAAGGGCGGGTGAAAAGTTAGAGGGTGCCAAAGAATTAAAAGTGACGTCATAAAATGTCTTCGACAGGTTATGAGGGAAATCATAACTTTCTCATGAACGATTACTGTGACATTTCAATTTTTCCTCTATTTTTATCGCGCAATAGCTCTCTATGTTTAAAAATGAATGTAGGTCAATTTCCTTATACAGAATTTGGAATAGTAGTTTAGATAATCGTAGAGGAAGCTTTTGTGTTACTAGCTCCTCTTCTATTTTAACAACGATCAAGGGGAATTTGGTTCATTTCTTTTGGTGTCCAAGTTGGTTATGGGTTTAATATTTTTATAAGCTGATTTTATTTGGGGCTCAATATAGAAGAAATATTTCGATTAATTGTTTTGAAGCCAAAACCAAGGTGATACAACAGCCAATCATGGGAAAGGGAATTATCGCAGGAAACCAACGAGAACTCAAAATGTAAACAAGCAAACAGCTCGTAGCGCGGGAAAACGCCAGTGCCCAGGTCGTAATTGTTTTTAGTCTTAGTCTGACTGGTTGAGAGAGTGACGCAAGTTTTCTGGACCAATCACAGAGCGAAGAAAAGCAAAATAAAAGCAATCCTGGATTGCTTTCGACACTGAATCGAAAAATGATGATGTTTTGTTTAGTTTTTTTTGTGTGTATATGTGAGTGCGCGTTTTTCCATTAGGTAATAGAGATGAGGCGATATCTGTTCTTCTGGAAGCAAAAAAGTACATTGGCAATGAATCAACAGTTTACTTCAACCTTGGTAACATGCTGGGACAGAACAACAAATTCCAGGTACATGACTGGATATAGCCAGTAAGCAGGTTCTCATTTGCTTTGTACCTGCGCGTTCTGAGCCGGCGAGAAAAGCGAGTGCGCATGAGGTCAGCGAAAGTTCTGGCACGAAAGTAATTTCAAAAGCCCAACCCCTTACAAACCTCTCGCACGCTTGCTCCGCTCGCCGGGCTAAATCTCGTAAGCTTCAACGCTTATGCCGCAGCGCGAATGAAAGCTTGCGCGCCGACATGAAAGGTTGAGGTAAGTACATTTTTATGCATTCGAAAATAGATTTTCTTTAGGGTTAGGGTTAGGGCTATTGATTTGTCATCCGAAAAATAAAAACAAACAAAAAACCAAACACTCAAACACAAAATCCGAACTTTGAAAGCTGATATTTCACAAAGTAATATTACTCAACTTCAACAATCGAAAATGGCAAGGTTGTAACACTCAATAGTAAGTCTGAACTTCTTGACCAAAAAGGAGATTTGTTTGATGTACGCCATATATAATGACCTAATCGATTGGAGCGTTTTTGATTTACAGGAGGCCGAGCAACAGTTTCTGGAAGCTCTCAAATTAAGCCCAAATTCTGCTGAAATTCATGGCAATCTAGGTAAGAATTTCATGCTCAGTGATGCATGTTTAACAGTGACATATTCATATTACTGGAAGGTAGCAAAAAACTGGTCTTACACTGTCTACACCTACAAGAGAAAGATATTGATTACAACAGAGATTTATATCAATAGCACTCTCGTCGAATTCGCTGATGATCTCACTAGGATTTGAAAGTAAGCGCCTGTTGGAGCGATCTAAAAACCGTTAGGGAGGTAAGGGTATCAGAGAAATAATCGAGAGCTCGGCGTATCCAGTTAAGAAGTCAGTGGGAT